TCGCCATCGCCAGCTTTCCTGCAGTTCAAGTTCGACATCGCCATCGTCAGCTTCCCTGCAGTTCGCCATCGCCCATCGTTTTCCAGTTTGTCATTCATACATGGGTTTGAAATTCGCCCTTCGTCTCCATAGACTCGTTGATTCTCATTCTCCTTCTCCTTCTCCTTCTCCTTCTCCTTCTCCTCCTTCTCCTTCTCCTTCTCTTTCTCCTTCTCCTTCTCCTTCTCCTTCTCCTTCTCCTTCTCCTTCTGCTTCCCCTTCTCCATCGCTCAGACTTGAGAAGAAGAAGCTCAGCCATCGCTCAGGCTTTGATAAGCAGAAGCTCGGCGATCGATCCTGCCCTTCGTCTCCATAGACTCGTTGATTCTCCTTCTCCTTCTCCTTCTCCTTCTCCTTCTCCTTCTCCTTCTCCTTCTCCTTCTCCTGCTTCTCCTTCTCCTTCACCTTCTCCTTCTCCTTCTCCTTCTCCTTCTCCTTCTCCTCTCTTTCTCCTTCTCCTTCTCCTTCTCCTTCTCCTTCTCCTTCTGCTTCTCCTTCTCCTTCTCCTTCTGCTTCTGCTTCTGCTTCTGCTTCCCCTTCTCCTTCTGCTTCTGCTTCCCCTTCTCCATCGCTCAGGCTTGAGAAGAAGAAGCTCGGCGATCGGTCCTGCTGAATAAGAAGAAGCTCGGCGATCGCTCAGGCTGTAGAAGAACAAGCTCAGCAGCGCACAGAAAACAAATCGCAATTCCATTTTTTTTTTTAATACTAATTCTCTCAGTGGAGAGAGGTTTCGCGGCATCGTTCAGGTGTTTGAGAGGTGATTAAAATGCTGCTGCAGGAGTGATCATTCAGCTGATCGAGGGTCAGACGTCAATCAGTATGGTGAGAGGCGATTAACGAACGTAAGGAAGAAAGGAGATTGACGTCTCAGCATCGATCACTAGACTGCGGACGAAACACACACAGGAAGAGAAGCGGAGCTGTGCTGCTTCGCGCATGCCTGCGGGAGACAGAGAGAGAGCCATCGCCAAACCGTCAGTTTCGCTGTCGGTGAGTTGGCAGCAGCTGCTTCCCCTTCACCCAGTCCGTTGTTACAACTTACAGGACCATCGAATTTCATCGTCGTCTCACTGCGTTAGCAAATGACGTGACAGTCTCCACTCCAAATGCCACATCGCTGCCACCACCCCTTCGATTGCGCACGTTCACATTCCTGACTCACTTCTCTCTCTCTCTCTCTCTCTCTCTCTCTCTCTCTCTCTCTCTGTGGCCGTTGATGAATTCAACCACGTGGTATGTCCCCTTGGGCATAAGGGGAGATCCTACGCGTTTGAATTCGTCAACGGCCATATATATATATGACCTAAGGGGAGATCCCACGTGGTTGAATTCATCAAAGACCAGATCGAGAGAGATTGGAAAAAGAAGAAGAGAGAGAAAGGGAATGAGCTCATGTGATATGGTTGAAATTCATCGACGGCCACACACACACACACACACACACACACAGAGAGAGAGAGAGAGAGAGAGAGAGAGAGAGAGAGAGAGAGAGAGAGAGAGAGAGAGATGCCTGCATATGCGAAAAGTATCGACGTTACGTAGCAGAGAGGAAAACCGACACCGTATGGGTACTTGGTGAAATGGCTTCCGGATAAGAGACTGTTTTTTTTCGGTTTTTTTTTCCCTCCTCCTTTCTCTCCTCTCCATTTGTCTCTCTTCCCTGTTTCCGTCTCTCAGACTCTCTCTTCCCTATTTCCTTTCAACTGCTGCCTTACGTCACAAACCCGATCCTGCCGGTCTTCGCTCTCAT